CGAACTACTGACCTCCTGGTTAGCAACTAAATGCCTTAACCACCACACCACCAGAGCTCCTTCCTCAGACCCAAGCAATCAGAAATTCTGGGAATGGTCCTGGCCATTAAGCTTTCCTAAGCCCTCTGGGTCTCTCTGATGCACACTCAAGTTTGACATCCACTTTTGGGAAGGCCAAGTGCTTGAAAAGCTCCCTGCCATGGAGTGGGTCTCACCTACTTTGGGTCCCTGCACTGTGCAATTGCAATTGGAGCTTTGGCACCTCTTACCCTTTCTAGCTCCTGTCTCCTTTTCTCCCTTAAAACTCCTGTTGGCAGCACTGTCCTGGCCTTCAGGGTAGCCTCCAACAATCAATTGACCGCATCTATAAAAGTCTCTGAGCTTCCTGGAAGGAGTTGCCCCAGAGACGGGAATGCAAAAGGTTATTGTTAGAGCTTTGTGTCTCACCTCTTCCTCTTCAACCTGGGATCTTCAAGAACCCCGTAGGTATCACTCACCTTCAGAAGGACAAACAGAGCTAGAGACAGAGGTGGTGCCTGGTTCTGGGCTCCCCCAGCAGAGGCTGCATGCCAGTCCCCAGCCCAGCCAGGTCTCCAGTCTTGGCCTGCAGACCGCCTCCCCCTGCAGGCAGGGTCCAGGCAGGGGCCATGCTTCCTCACCCCTGCACACATATATATTCATTCATTCATTCATTGACACACAAAGCAAACTTTTCTTGTGCTACTACTATGTGCCAGGCCCTATTCTAAGTGGTGGGGATTCACAAGTGAGCAGAACAAAGTCCCTGCTCTCAGGGGGCTAACATTCTAGGGGAGGAGAGGGAAGCAAGCAGTAAGCAATCAATGGTATTATTTTATGTCACATACTTGCTAAGCCTTGAATGAAGGAATGATGGTGGCAGTACAGGGCACGTGCTTTGGAGGCAGACCAACCTGAGTTCAGATTTTGATTTTGTCTCTTCCTAGCTGTGGGACTTGAGGCAAACTCTTAGCCTCTAGGTGCCTCAGTGGCTTTATCTCTCAAATGGGGCACCAGTAGTGTCCACCTCAAAGAGTAGTTAGGAAGATGAAATGAGTGCAATGCTAAGCACGGTGCCTGGCACACAGTAGGTGCTCCTTGAAACCAACCAATTAACAAACTCACTGCCGTTGAGGCAATTCTGACTCACAGCACCCCTAGTGGACAGAGCAGAACTTCCCCATAGGGTTTCCAAAGCTGTAAATCTTTACGGAAGCAGAAGGTCTCATCTTTCTCCTGTGGAGCAGCTGGTGGGTTTGAACTGCTTACCATTTGGTTAGCAGCCAAATGCCTTAACCACTGTGCTATCAGAGCTCCTGAGCGCTCCACAAAGTTAGATGTTACTGTCATTCTTATTCAAGGTTGCAGAGCTGAGTCTAAGCATGAAGTTGGTCCTCCAACTACACGAGGTTTGTCCACTGTACATCTGTGGATTCCCAGCTAGAAAGGTCCCCAGCGACTGGCTACTGATCTGACCTGATTTTATAGACCAGGCACCTGAAGGTCAGACAGGTTTTGGGATTTGTCAGAGGTCACACTCAGAACAGAAGGTGTCCCCCTGCTGGGGGGCAGGGCTGAGATGCACTGGCAGTTAGGAAGAGTAGAGCGTCTGAAACAGCACCTCCTGGGGTCTCGTAAGGGGTTCTCCCTCCTGCCTGGCTGCCTGTTGGCATCATCACGCCCACCCTTTCCATCTCCCTCTAGAGAATGGGCTGGGTTTGGGGGGTTGAGCATGGGGAGATGCTGTGTGGGGCCTGAGTGCCCCAGGCACAGCCTGCACCGTCTGTCCCTGTCATGCCCTCCCTGCACCTTGGCTCTGCCCTGACCTCAAAGCCCCAGTGGGAGGCAGCTCTGGTCGGCAGAGCCTGGACCCTGTGGCCAGGCAGCTCTGGGTTTGACTCCTGGCTCTGACGCTTCCTGGCAACGTGACCTTGGAACCCCTGCACTGCCCTTTCTGCATCTGCACCTATACCCACTATCATCCTCAGGTCCAGTGAGGTGATACTTGCACAGAGCACAGCAAGGGGGGGGGCACACATTACAGGGAATACTTTTCTCCCCCACTCCTGCTCCCAGCAAACCAGTCTTCTTGCTCTTTTTGAAACATACCCTGAACTTTCAGCCTTCAGGTCTTTGCTTGTACCAGCACCTTGCCTGGTCATCCCCGTCTGTCCAAGCCCAGGCTGCCTTTCCGTCTGCACAGGACTCAGCCTCACCTCTTCCTCTGCCTGGGATGCCATTTTTCACACCTGTGTGTACTCAGAACTTGAAGCAAGGTGCAGACCAACTAAAAATAGCACCACAGTCTCCATTTATTGAGTGCTCTGGTGGTGTAGTGGATAAGGCATCTGACTGCTAATGAGAAGGTGAGTGGTTCAAACCCACCAGCTGCTCCATGGAAGGAAGATGAGGCGATCTACTTCCATAAAGATTTGTTACCTTGGAAACCCAATGGGGGTCACTCTGAGTTGGCATCGACTCGATGGCAGTGAGTTTGGATTTTTGGTTTTACTGTGTCGTAGGTACTGCACTCCACATGCATGTACATTATGGAATCCTTCACAGTCCAAGTGAGAGATCTATTATCTCGCCCAGTTCACAGACAAGGGAACTGAGGCTCAGGGTCACCCAACCGGGAAAGGGTGGTGCCAGGAGTGGGGCCTGATTCATCTTTTCTTCTCCTGAGCTGCTGGGCACGGAGCTGAGTTTAGCTGACAGATGCAAGCATGACAGGGAGGGTGGCAGCGAGGCAGGCAGGGAACCGGCCAGAGCCTGGCCTGCTTTTGCTTCATCAGTTGTTGGTGAGCACCCGGCCACGGAGGCCTTGCCCAGCCCTTCTGAGCTGTGGCATATTGGCTGCAAGTTAAAACAGGGAGGCAGGCCAGGAGGCCTGGGTTGAGGTCACAGTGAGGAACAGGGCCCGGGGAGGAGGTGACTGGTAGGTGGCTTGGTGAGGATGGGGTGTGGGGGAGGAACTGTCATTCTCTGGAAATTACCCAAGATCAGCCACCAAAGTCTCTCTGACACCCTCTGCGTGACCTCTTCCCAGCCACAAGAAGGACAGCTGGCATCGAAGGCTGGGGACTTGCTGCACCTGACCTTGCTAGACATGTTCCAGTCTTGTCTCTGGTATAAAATGTTAATAAACCCACCTCCTGCTCGCAGAATCCTCGTACCTTTTCCAAAGCAATTTTGTGTCTATAGACACCTAACTTCCACAATGAGTCCAAGCTACTTTCAGGTTAGAACCCCATTTGCTAGCAAGGGAACCTAGGTGTAAAGAGGTGCCATGACCAAGGTCACAGCTGATGGGGACAGAGAGGGAAGTAGGGCATGGGGGTTCTGGATTCACATCCAGGCAAGAGATGTTAAGTAAGTACCTGCTCTGTGTCAGGTATTGGCTATATACTGGGGATAAAAGATGAATGTAAACCAGCCCCTAGTTTTTTAAAAAAAAATTAGTTAACAAACAGTTATATAGCACTTACTATGTGCAAGAAGGGAGCTCTTGTGGCTCAGTGGTTAAAGCATTTGGCTGCTAACCCAAATGTCAGTAGTTTAAACCCACTAGCCACTCCATGCGAGAAAGATGAGGCAGTCTGCTTCTGTGAAGATTTAAACAAAAACCAAACTCACTGCCATGAAGTCAATTCTGACTCATAGAGGCAAGTAGATTGCCCCATCTTCCTTCCAGGGAGTGGCTGGTAGAGTTGAATCGCCAACTCTTTGGTTAGCAGTCAAATGCTTTAGGCACTGCACCACCAGAGCTCCTTAAAGATTAAAGCCTTGGAAACCCTATGAGAGCAAATCTATTCTGTCCTAAAGGGGCACTATGAGTCAGAATCAACAGGATAGCAGTGGGTTTGGTTTTGTATTTTATGTGCCAGACACTTCACATATTAACACATCTTATCCTCAAGATACCCTAATGAGATACAAACTATCAATACCTTCTGTTCATAGATGAGGAAACTGATACCTAGAGCAGTTACTTGAATTGTCTGAGGTCACATGACTAGAAAGCAGCAGAGCTGAGATTTGAACCTGGACAGCCCAAGCCAAGCCCATGCATCTACATATGCAAAAGTGAACACAGCATAGCACAATGGCAAGAGGACTGGTCTGAAGTTATTCAGACTTGCTTCTAAATCCCACTTACGTCCTAGCTCTTTGAGCCTCAGTTTGCACATCTGCAAAACAGAGATATGTCCCACAGATGCTGTGATGTCCAGGAGAGAGAGGCCGTGAAAACACAGGGCTAAAATGTGTCCTGTGACTGCTAGTTGGATCTGAATGCAGAAGGAGTGTGGCAGGGGCCTGCCAGTCCCTTGCCTGTGCTAAATCAAAGCTGGAGAAGAAAGGCAAGGCCAGATATTCCTTTTCCTGATTCCCAGCTGACTCTGGGCTGGCTATTTTCCCTGGCTCTCCTACAAGGCTGGAACGATAAGTCTGAATGAAGCCAAACAAGTTTCTCAGACTGGCGGTTACAGTAGACCAGGGCAAGTATGTGGAGGAGAGGAGGAGATAAGGAATTTCCATCCTTGGAATCTGAGAATGTGAGCACCCAAGGGTCCCTGGGGATCAGTTGGCCTCATCTCCTTGGGTTACAGATGGGAGACTGGGGCCTAGAGAAGGGAGAGACTGCCCAAGGTCACACAGCAAGGTTGGGCAGAGCAGGGACCAGAACGGAACTACAGGCAGAGTTCTGTAAAAATCCCAATTTCTCTTGGCTTCTCTGCCCAGTGGGGAAAAGAGAATTGATTTCATTTGGGTTCTTCAAATTGAGCAGAATATCCCAGTTTTTCTTTGCCTGGCTCATGTGACTGAGCTTCTAGCCCTAATGGATTGCCCCTCTTTTTTCTAAGCTTGGGGTGTGAAGGAACCCCGTCTTCCTATTCACTGCAACCAGTATAGCCTCATGCCTTTAGCATCTCAGCATCCCATGATGCACACTTTGCCAGGCTCTCGTCACAGTGACCCACCTTCGGCCCCAATCTTGCCGTCCCCATCCTTGTCTCCGGCAGCCATCAGCTTCTTGGTTTCTTGAGCAGACAGGTCTCTGGCATCTGAGGAGAAGCCCTTTAGGATGAATCTGGGGGAGGAAAGGGAGAGAGCGGGGAGGAAGTCAGGCAAGGTAAGCTTGTAGGAGCACCAGGTGGCTGGTGGGCTGGCATCTGTACAGGGGACGCGTGCAGCTGGGACAGACAGCACAGTGTCCATGCACGCAGCTGTGCCAGGCCAGGTAGCCTGGTGTGGGCTGTGCCTTCATGGCTGAGTGTGCAGAAAGGGCAGGCTGGCCTCAACCAGCGTCCACCTCACTTTAATACACACATTTGTTTGTTTATTCAACCTGCATTAAGTGCCCAGGCCCAGTCTGGATACTAGGGACACAGAGATAATCTTAGGGAGCCACTTGAAAAGATGGGGAGGAAATCAAGGATGGGAGGGAAGAACACACAGTGTGTTGTGTACAGTGACAGGAAGCAGAGAGGGAAGCGAAGAGAATGTATCCCTCCTCCCCAGGGAAGGGGAGGATCCGGGGGGATCCGGGGAGGCTTCCTGGAGAAGGTGATGCCTACAGCAGCACAAGTAGAAGTTAGCCTGCATGTATGTGCATGTGCACATGCGTGTGTGTGCACGTATGTGCTGGCATGGTTGGGTGGAGAAAGTACAGATATGTAGAACCCTCGTGGGAAGGTTTAGGGGAGAGCCAAGATGGATGGGGAGGGTCCCACTTGAAAAGCCCCTCTCCACACCCTCTCCCTCTTCCTTATAACAAAATCCAAGGCAGCTGTGGCTGGAGGGTGACATCGGAGCCAGCGGGGCAGGCAGATGTGGGCCAGGGTGATGGAGGGAGGTGACGGACGGGAGGTCTCTGGGCTGATGCAGTTTGGCACTTTCCTAGTCACAGCCTTCTCCTCTTCCGCTTTGTTCCAAAGATTCCTGAAGCCCCAACGCGGGCTCTGCACCTCTGACTTGCCCTGAACCAGCTCTAGCTGCCCTAGTACAGAAGCAGGGGTCTGCAGCACGGTGGGTGGTGCCTCTAGACAAATGAGAATCAATGAAACGCTAAAGCCACCGTCCCCTGCCTCACTCATGGCATTAGGCAGCAAGATAAAGGGCCTTTTCATTTGTATTAAATTATTAAGGCACAGCATTCCATTAGCAGTATTAAGTGGCTATAATTTAACCTAGTTAGTGGTGCTTTCTGCTGAGGGTTTTATTTTTTCCGGAAGTCCTTCAGCCCTGGGAGTGTTTCTCTCCTGGCTCCCCGGGCCTGCTCCCTGCGGTTATGCACAGCTATTTTCTGCGGAGCATGCAGACTGAAGTGGGGCAAGGCCAGGGCTGGTGGGAGCTAGAAGCAAGAGTCTCAGCCCCCACCCCTCTCCTGGAGCCTCTGCCCAGCATGCCCCCTGGGGGCCTCAGCGTACCCCAGCTCTTCCTCCTCAATGAAGCCACTCTTGTCTTTGTCCAGAATGTGGAACACCTTCTTCACGTCATCCGGGGTCTTTTTCTTCAGGCCAACCATTTGGAAGAACTTTTTGTAGTCGAAGGAGTCAACAGCTGCAGGGGGGAGGAGAGGGTTAACATGAAGCCACAGCAGAGGCAGGAGGGAAGAATGAGGGAGGCACAGAATTGGTTGGCTGACTCCCACCTGCCAGCCGGGGGTGTGGGGCATGTGGGGGGTGGAGGGGTGAGGCTCCACCTGAGGGCTGAGAAGCCCAGGCAAGCAGAGGTTGCTTTGCCTAGGTCACACAGCTAGAGTGGGAAGAGGTGGACTGGCACCCCAGTCTTGCTGGCTCCCAAACCTGCCCACCCCTGTGCACAGCACCCTGCCATGGTGATGGAGAGATGGAGACAAAGGGGCAGGGGGACTTCCTGTAGAGGAAACTCACCATGGAACCCAAGCAAGACATTTCTCCCCATGAGAACCTTGCTTCTGAGACAGGGTGGTGGCTGAGCGGGAGTGGGCAGGGGGCCCAAGGGCGGTGTGAGTGATGGCCACAGCATGTAGAGGGGTGAGGAGGAGGGCCCATCCTGCTTCTTGGCCACAGACGGTGTTGCCAGGAAAACGGGCACAGGAAGGACACTTTTCCTCTCAAGGTCACCGTGCAGGGGGGCAGGATGAGAGACCCAGAAGTCAGTTTTGTGGGGGTGCGGCAGGGCTGGACGGCTCCTGAGGGTCCCAGTCAAGTCTTCCCTCAGAGGCAGCAAGGTGATTCAGGCAGTGTCTGTCATCACCTGCTCTGCAGTGTGGCTCCCAGTTTCTCTGAGCCCCGGAAAGGGGACCCCAAGCAGAAAGGAAATGAGAGCCCTCTGCACAGTGCCTAAGGCACTTGACGGCTCACCAGAAGGCTGGCGGTTCAAACCCACCAGCCACTCCTCGGAAGGAAGGTTGGGCAATCCTACTTCCGTAGTGATACTGCCTCGGAAACCCAAGGAGGGGTCGCTATGAGTCAGGGCCGACTCCACAGCAAACAACAACAACAGCCAGTCTTCTGTCTTAAGTTTCTTTCTCAGAACATCCCAGACAGGGTACAAACCAGGTAACTGGGCGGGGGTACAGGGTTCCCTACTGAGAGTTCAGTTCCTCCTGTCCTTTGCCCAGGGCTGGCGGGAAAAAAAGTTGCTCCCTTCACTTCTGACCCTCTGGTGGGGCTCCACGTCCTGGAGGTGCAGTGGGGACCCCAGTTCTAATCCCCTTCTGCCACATCTGGTGACCTTGGGTAAGTCCCTCGCCCTCTCTGAGCCTTAGTTTCCCCATCTGGTGACTGGGGAGGATGCAGCCACACGCTAAAGTCCGGGGTGGCTCGGAGAGGTGACGCTGTGCACTTCCCTCCCTCCCGCGGCTGGGCTGGAAGTTGGAAGCATTGAGGATGCTCCACGCAAGACCGGTCAGAGCAGAGCGCCCGCTCCGGGAGGGAAGGTCACCTCACTTGCAGGGCCGCTGGAGGTGAGGGACGCTGAGCTCCGGGGAGGGGCTCGGACAGACGAAGGGCCAGAAAGGGCCACCCCCGAGTGGGAAGACCCCTGTGCAGAACCCGGATCAAGGAAAGGGGCGAGAAGGCGTGTGCGCTCGCAGCCCCTCCGTGAGCAGTGAGAGAAGCCTCGAGCTCGCACTGAGACCTCAGGGGTCCGGCCTCCCACCCTGGTCTTCGCCCTTGATCCGGGACCATTGAGACCTCGCCGCGTGCGGCCATCGGCCCTCAGCGCCAGCAAGTTTCTGTCTCTCGGGCAGGACACCCAGCCTCCCCGCCCGCTGCCTGCGTCAAGTTCAGCCGAGACGGAGTTTGGTAGATGGCGAGGACCCCCGCCCCCGGCGCCCTGAGGGCTGCTTGGGCAGAAGAGCTGAGAGGACTGGCTCGCCTCGGGACCCGTGGGGGGCAGGGGCTAGGGCTGAGGATCAGGGGAGGGAATGCGCAGGGGAGCGCGCTGCTCACCGGCAAAGGCCCCCACTGCCTTCTTGATGTCCTCAGCGTTGAGCAAGTCTGTCATCGACATCCTGCAACTGTTTAAGCGGGCAGAGCAAGTGCGAAAAGATTAAAAAGTGCTTTTCTCATCATTTCTGCTCATATGACCAACGCTGCAGTGCTGCACGCCAGGCGCACGTCCGCCGGCCTGGCACAGCGCCAGGGGGCGCCGGGCTCGGCGCGCGGCCAGAGCGGCTCAGTGCAGCCGCGCCACCGAGCCGCGCGGGCCCCAGACGGGCGCGTCCGTTCCTGTTCCTCCCCACCGCACCCCGTCGGGGTCCACGGGATCCCCGGGGATGCGGACAGGGGAGGAAGGGCAAGGGGCAACCTCTGGAATTTAGGGGGCGAGTGCTCTCCCAGCCTGGTCTGGCGAGGTTCGCCAGCCGTCAAGGACACGCAGGAGGCGCGGGCTTGGCGCAGCGCAGGGGCTCAGGTCCGTGCACCTCAGAAGGCTGCTTCGGGAGGCTACTGAACCCGTGTGTGTGGCCCCTCGGCTCGCTCTGCTCCCTCTCTCTCGCCGCTCCTACCTCAACCTCGGCTCCTGGATGCAAATTTATGCTGCAAAATCGGAGCGCTGAGGTCGCGAAACCTGACCCAAGGACGCCGCGAGGGGGTGGGTGGCAGGGACAGGCAGGTGCTGCCCGGGCCCTTTGCGCGCAACATTCCACATCTGCCGGGGATGTGCGTTCTCAAACTTGCTCATTGTTTTGCTTTTCTAGCCTGACTTTTCAAAGCACCTTTCTCAGACCTGGGTCTCCTTGTCCACAGTCCCTGGTCCAGCCTCTCCCCTTCCTCCAGAAGCTTTTAGGGGGAGGACAGAGTGGAGGAGGACACTTGGGATCTCTACGCACCCCCCCCCCAGTAGGAGACCAGGAGTCCCATGTAGGTATGGTGGAAGGGTGGCACCTGGGGGCCACACTTTCTAGACAACCTTCAGCTGGTTTTGCGTTCCCAACTTCATCTCTGGGGAATGTGACACTCCCTAATTGGATGCTACCAGAGACCGGTTGCATCCTTTCCCATGGTATCTCAAGAATCCAGGCTGCCACCAGCTGCCTGCAGGTCAGGAGAGCACTGGAGGCAGGCAGGAGGTCTGGGTTCCAGATCTGGGGCTGCACTAACTCCTGTGTGACCTTGGGTTGTGACCTCTCCTCCTCTTTGGGCTTTGTCTTCACTTCTGTAGTGTTGGATGGTAGTGGTGGTCCCTTCTGGTGGGACTTGGAGGTTCCAATCTAAAGGATCCTAGATGAGGAGGGCTTGGGGCTGCGGTGGCTCTTGGTGACGGTGGCCTGGGATGGGGGGAGGGCTGCCCAGCTGCCAGTGGCTCAGGTTCCCTTGTACTCCTTGTCAACACCATCTCCCCTGCTTGGAAACCTAAGGAAGCGGCTGGCTCCTGCTGTCTGCTCCCTGTGAGTCAGCTCCTTCAGGCCACAGCTCCGTTGGCTGAGAAGGCACCAAGGCTGAAGCTCCCGACCTGATATCCCTTGGCACAAGGCTTCCCCTGGACCCCTCAGCCAGTGTGGTCCCTGCTTGTCCCCACCATCTCTGCTACTGCCCCCAGCTGGGCTGCTACCTTGGACCTTCAGGGCTTCTGTGATGTCTATCAGCCCCCAACTTCAGCTGACCCAGGACCCTACTTGGAGAATCTGTTTTCTCAGCTGAAGGACCATTATGCTGTCCTGGTGGCAAAACTGAGGGTGGAGAGAGTCAGTGAGTGGCGTCAAGGCACACAGTGAGGCAGTGACCAAGCAGGAAAAGCCAGATCTGCTAAGTCACATTCACTAACTGCCCTGGTGGCCCTCCCCTATACCTGGGCATAGGCCAGTACCCAGTACTCAGCCCTACCTGAGCCCCACAGGGGCTACTGGAGCATCTCCAAACACTGAGACCCTAGGTGAAGACTGGAGCCTCAACAGGGACCCATTCACTTCCCCTCCATCCTCCATCTCTCCCTATGGTGAGGCCTCCTTTCCACCTGGACACCCTCTCTGGGCCAGGTTCCACCGGCCATAGCATCAGCCAATTCCCTTTCAGCTCTGCCCATGACGTTGGTCAGCCCATCCATCCTCTACATACCCTCCTGCCTCCTCTGCCCACTCAAGGGCCCCCTTTCATTCTTCAGGTGGGGGACTGAAGCCCAGACAGGGGAGGGATTGGCCTAGGTCCCCCAGGAGGCAGAATGGGGAAAGAACCCAGGAGTCATAGTCTCACCTCTCCACCCACCCCCTGGTGCCAGAGAAGGGGGAGATGCTGTCCCTTCCAGCTGGCCCCCTCTCTGCTGCATCCCTCCAGCCTCCTCCAGCTCAGGAGCTACCACTCACCTGGGTGGGGGTCGAGGACCAGAGCCTGCACTGAAAGACTAGGCTGGTGGCAGTCTTGTAGGGAAGTGAATGTGGCGGTGGGATGGCCACCTATATAGGCTTCTCCTCTGGCTATTTTGGGAGGTGGCACTCCCCCCAGCCCCTGGCCCCCTCCCCTTCCGGTGTCGGGTACTCCCCAACCATGGTGCTGGGTTGACTGTATCACATTCACCCTCCCTGAGCCGGTGGAGCCAGGCCTATTTATAACTCTTGGCCCCTGCCTTCCTCTAACACCCCAAACTGAGTCCCAGGCAAGTCTCACCTCCTCCATGAAGTCTTCCATGACCACCTCAGATGGCAGCAACCTTTCCATTCTCCAGACTCCTGCAGGGAAAGGAAGAAAAAAGGCACAGAAGGGACCAGAACAGGACATGTCTTCCAGGCATGTGGCTGGGCTAAGTTCCTGAACACCTGTGATTTTTCCCTATGGTACTGCACTGCAGGCACGGTCGCTCTGTGCAGATGAGCACACCAAGGCACAAAGATGTTTTGTGACTTTTTGCTCAAAGCCACGATCCTGGGAGGTGTTGGAGCTGGCAGTGGCCCCAGCACTTTGATGATAAGATGATCTTGCACTTGGCAGAGAGGTGTGTTCTTAGTGTTCTCTGACAAGTCTCTTCCTATCTTTGTATCTCAGTCTCCCCATCTATAAAACAAGCATGATCATGGCCAGCTCTCTCTGGCTTGGAGGACTATGAACCCCCTAAAGTCATAGGCAAAATGTCCCATGCAAGTGCGCTTTCATGGAGCAGAGGGCCATAACTTTCATGAGATTTGCCTGATATCTGATGTCTGTCTTAGACTGGAGATGATGGTACAATGGATATGCTTTGAAAAGCATGAAGGAATGAATGAATTCAACAAGTATTTATTGAGTACTCAGTATGAACAAGAGGAAAGGTCCCCTCTCACCACCTCACTCATGTTAAAAGATCTCCAGGATGCTAATAGTGTCAACATTGGATTTTAGTTCTTGATGATGACGTGATGGTTCCATGCAAAGGATGCTGCTGGGAGGGAGACACTCTGGTTTTCTATTGTCCATTGGCTCCATGGATGAAAAGAGCAAAGAGGTGGGCTGGGTGTGGGAGGATGGAGCTGTAGCCCAGATGTTCAGTGTTGGGCCAAGACTAGGATTATGGTAGTGGAAACAGATAGGAGTGTGTGGATGGGGAGTATGTCCTAGGGAAGGGCTCCTAGACATGGGGGCAAATCCAACTGGAACAGATCCAAGTTGCCTCTACATTTTCAAGCCTGGGTTCGCTGGAGAATGGTAGTACTGTTTGAAGCTGATGAGTCTTGGGAGGAGGTGGGACCTCACTGGAGAGGTGACTCACTGGAATTGAGAACCCTAGGGTATTATGGCTGGGGCAGTTTCTGTAGTTATCTACTGCAAGCTGCTCATTTGACACATGCAGGAACCAAGGCCAGGGTGACTTGTCCCAAGTCACACAGCCAGCAGTGGAGGAACCAGGGCCTTGAGTTGGGTTGGGGATGCCCACGGTCACCGTCCTCGTTCCCTAGTGCCGCTCTGACAGGAACATCCCACCAATGGGATGGTTGAACAAACAGGAGTTTATTCTCTTACTATTTTGGAGGCTTTAAGTCCAAGTTCAAAGTGCCAGGCTCTAGGGGCTATGTGAAAGCCCTTTGACCTTGGGCTTCAGCTCTGCCCCTTGCTCCCTGCCCACTGAAGCTAGAGGTATCTCTTCACTCAGACAGCTACTGGCTGCTGAGGCTAATAAGCCCAAGGTCGACATAAAATGGCACAGTCTCAATGGTACCAAACCACACTGCAGGCCATTCATTCAAGTCCATTGTAAGTCCCAAGGTCGGCAGAGCATGGCAGGCTGCTGAACAACGACACGGCTACGTGCAGGGTCCAAGCATGCCCTAAGCTAGAGACCATTCCCCAAGGCTTCTCCTTAAATACAGGAAGCAGACCACATCCCTATGGCAGCTACTCAGCTGCTCACAGTAGATTCCACCATGGAGTTGATTGCCAGTCTCATCATGGGGAATACTACATCCAGCTGCCCAACCATTCAACTAGGCCTAGCTAAGTTGACACAGAAACTTAACTACCACAGTCACCCTGGAGATGCCCAGAAGGTCTGGATTCCAGAGTGTGGTCAGGGTTGATGATTATGAGGAAGGGTTGATGATTAGCAGGAAGGCCATGGAGGATGACTGGGCTCAGAGGAAAAGGACAGAGTGTTGGGACCAACCCTTGACAAAGATCCTTGGCTATGGGCTGGGAAAAGGACCACACACGTTTGTTGAACACTGTGCTGGGTACTGTGCACACAGCATTACTCTTTTGTCCTTGTAGTCCCTCTACAAGATACGTGTTGCCTTCCCCATTTTACTGATGAGAGAACAAGGCTCAGAAAGGTTAGGTGACTTGCCTAAGGTCACAGAGCAGAGGTAGAATTTAAACTCAGGTCTCTCTGGCTCCAACACACTTTGTCCTTTCCACTCTACTTTCCTGCTTCTTAATAAGGTGGACATTAGGGGCAGGACTCCTAATGAGTAAATTCTTAGAAACCAGAATGTTTTCTCTGTCCCCATATGTCTTCTTTGTGTACCTGCAATTAGACAGATCTAGATGGTCTGAACCATACTGTGGAAATGAGGGGTTACTGTGAATCAAAATTGACTCAATGGCAGTAAGTTTGTGTTTTTTGGTTTTGTATTTATTGAGTGCCTAATGTGGGCCTACTACTTATGGAAATTATCTTGTTCCACCCTCAGCCCTGGTGCACAGTGGTTAAGCACTGAGCTGCTAACTGGAAGGTCAGTGGTTTGAACCCACCAGCTGCTCCATGGGAGAAAGATGTGGCAGTCTGCTCCCATAAAGATTACAGCCTTGGAGAACCTATGGAGCAGTTCTTCCCTGTCCTATAGGATCACTGTGAGTTGGGATTGACTCAACAGCAATGTTTTTTGTTTGTTTGTTTTTGTTTTATAGCTCTTAGAGGTTTGAAGAAATACAATGTCAGAGAGGTTTATGATGTACTCAAGATCACACAGTAAGTAGTAGAGCTGGGATTTAACTCAGGCCTTTCTAAGTCTGAAACTTTTTTTTCTTTTTTTACCTACAATACTTGAAGTAGAATAAGGATGTCCTAAAGCCTGAGTAGAATGTCTTGAAACATCATCCTTTTCTCTGAATCTGTGCTAATTTAGTAGCCGTCACTTTATTAATTGGTTTTACAAGGGGTCTGATGTCAGAAATGGGTTTATCTGTCAGACCTGTTTAGACTGCAAGTGATAGAAATCCTGACTCAGGCTGGCTTAAGACAAAAGGAGAATTTACTGATTCATGGAACTGAAAGCCTTGGAGGGCTCAGGTGTGGCTTGATCCAGGGCCTGAATGCTGTCATGAGACCCCTGTTTCTCTATTTCTCAGCAATAGCTTCTGCTGCCTTGACCACCTTCTCAGACTGGTTGTCCCCTGAGGGTTACAAGATGGCTGTTCCCTGCAGTGCTATAAACTTTCAGGTTTAATCCTGGTGGGGAAAAGGAAGGCTACCATCCCGAGAACTCAATCACTGACCCAGAGTTGAGCTTCACTGGCTATGATGAGCTCTGTTTGATGTTATGTCCATCCCTGAACCAGACTGTGTCAATCGCAAGAGTAGTGCATGGGTTGATTGGCCAGGTCTGGGTCACAAGCCACTCTTTGAACTGGGGGTGGGGGTGGAGTGTCAACACTCCCGGAACTGCCTGGTTGGGGAACTGTCACTGGACAGCAAGGGAAGGGATTCTGAGCAGCCAAAGCCCATGAACAATGAACACTGGCCATTGACATGGGTTTCTGGGGGTGCCCAGGAGTGCCAGGCCCTAAGTCTCTGGTTAGCTTGGTGCTTTGGTTACCTAGTGCCCCTCTGGCAGGAATATACCACAAATGGAATGGCTTAAAGAAACAGGAGTTTCTTCTCTTATAGTTTGGAGGCTTTAAGTCCAAGTTCAAAGTGCCAGGCTCTAGAGGCTGGGTGAAAGCCCCTCAACCTTGGGGTCCAGCTCTGCCTCCTGCTCCCAGCCCACGGAAGCTAGAGGCTTATCTTCACTCAGACAGCTGCTGGCTGCTGAGACTGACAAGCCCAAGGTTGACAAGTAAAAAACCACAGTCGCGATGTTACCAAACCACGTGGGGGCCCATTAATTCAAGTCCATTTAAAGTCCCAAGGTTGGCAGAACATGGCAGGCTACTGAACAACGATACTGCTACATGCAGCATGCCATAAGCTAGACACCATTCCCAAGGCTGTTTCTTATGTACAGGAAGCAGACCACATGCCCAAAGCAGCTACCCAGCGGCTTCAATAGATTCCACCGTGGAGTTGATTACCAATCTCACCGTGAGGAATAATTACATTCAGCTGCCCACCCACCCAACCAAGCCTAGCCAAGTTGACACACAAACTTCACCACCACATTTGGCAGTAGCAGAATCACACTGCTAGAGAATAATTCACTCTGGGCACCCAAAGTTGTCTTTCTTGGCTTAGATCCCTATTCCACCCCTTATGACCTAACCAGCACATCAGGCTCAGCCCCTGAGGCCTCTACTTGAAGGCAGTAGCAGTGTCCACTGGGACTGTCCTCCAGCTTTAAGTGCTGTACCCTGAACAGACATCAGGCACATGGGTAGATGGGTGGATGTCACATCCCACATTAACCCCCATTCTATCTCCTGGACTCCTGATACAGTACCTGTCTCCAGCTAGACTCTTCCACATGAACGTTACTGATTTTTATTCATAGCCCCTGAAGTGGGCCCCATTATACCATTTTTACAGAAGAAGAAATATCAAGTTCAGAGACCTCAAGTCCCTTGCCCAAGGTCACAAAGCTATCCAGGACCACAGCCTGGTCTGCTGCCTCCATCCATTGTCCAAAGCGCTCCTACGTCCCACCCTAGCCTCGCAGCTGGTGGAGGGAGGAGGCCGCTGTGTGGGTCAGCAGTCTCTTGGGGCTGCCGTCTGCCAGGAGATGAGCATTCA